TGCAGGATCTGTCTAAGCTTGTAGCTACAAAATTGAGAAACAGGCCCAAATTACTGTCATTTACTTGAACATTGGCCACTCAATAGAAAATTTGAGCTTTCTCCACTTCATGAGGAAAAGAGAGGGAGTGATTCTGCAAATCTATTATCTAATCATGACCTGAAGAATCGAGAACCTTCTCAAAGCGAAGCATAACCCTAATATGTACTGAATACCATTAGCCATAAGAGAAGAATACACATGATTTATAGATGAAGCTTCAAAAAGACATGATGGAGCCCTGTTATGAAATGAAAATCATGTGGTCGAGATATTACATGAAAATCTTAATATTTTTGCATTATTACTGGGTCTCTGAACTTAACATGCAAATTAGCAGTATGACCAAAACCCCAAATCATATGAGAAGCTATGTGAGCTAAGATGGACTACTACATATGAATAACACCTCACCTGACAGCGACATGACACTCGCGGGCCAACCTGTCCAATCTCATCAGCAGGAACAACTTGACCACCTCTTTCCTGAATTTCCCACCATTCCTTATTTGGAACTTCCGAGCTGGACTGCATCACATGGGAAGACAATCCATTTTGGATGTCCAAGGTATCAAGATCATCTACAAAACCCCTCATGGGAATATCCGAGATCAATGGTTCGATTTTGCTTTTACCGGAAAAGAAAGGGCTCCTACTAGGCCTGCTTGGCTGACCATGAGTATCATGCAGTGTGTTAAACCCATTTAACTTCGGTTCTATTTGGACAGAATCTAGCCCATCAGCCTCTTGAGGCATAAGCAACGGGACATCTTGAAACGATGATAACGAGGAAAATGAGTCACTGCTTTTCAATTCTTTATGATTGCCTTTGTCATTCTTATCATCAATCTCTACCTCTCTGCTTTTTCCCATGTAGTGGGGAATGACCATGTGGTGCTGAGGCAAGAGCAGGGGAATCGCTTGTTCATTTGGGGCCTTATTTCTCTGGCAAATCACAAAGAGACTAAATGACAAGAAATTCAGACAGTCAAGATAAATTTATTTGAGCAAGAGAATAATCCAACCTTTGCATAGTTCCATCGCTGTACAAAATGTCGGGCTACATCACGGCAAGGTGGCCCCCAAAGGGCACAGTGGACGTCATGCCAAGGCATGCGTGGATATTTTAAGCGATCCAATTCATCCTTCATTGTGTCCTCCCAGGAATTTGGTTCTGATTCCCTGAGTATTGAATCAAACTTCACATTAGTTCAAAAAGAAAATCACTGGAAAATCTGCACTCGCCCAAACAGAAACAATAACGTAGTTTCCCTACATTCGGAGAGAATCAATTGTTCCATGATAGTCATAAAAAATTGATTATGAAGTCAGAATTCCAAAACCAAGCATCATATTCACAGAACATGTCTGGCCTATAGCTACATAAAATGCTGACCCTCCAGTTTGCAACAGCAGAAAATAATAAAAATTCCAAATCAATAATCAGGCCATCTCAAAGTAAAATTAGTGCAAAACAATATCTCAACAGCTCAAAATTTTGAGTCACACCAAAATTGATAGAAGCTAAGAATCAGCATCCTGGCTTTGTGCTCACCAGAGAGATTATTTCAGCTAGGTATTCAATCACCCAATTACTGCCACTGATAAAAGAATAGTTAAATACTGAAGTTCTGCTTTCAACCAGTACAAGTTGGAACGTACCGCGGATTGTAATAGTCCTTGCCAGGCCATATTTGAGATGGATAATCACCCACTCTATGGTCACCAGAGTCATAACGACCAAAGCACAGATCAAGACCTCCAATAAAACAAATGTGGTGATCCACGATGACAAGTTTTTCATGGTGGGACCTATAAACAAGACATAATGTAGATATATAGCAAAATCTATCTGGGTAATCATAACAACTAAAACATAATAATGATGAAAAGCATACCATAGATAGACTCCAGTGGAAAAATGGTCTGGATATCTAAGTACTCTGATGTTCTCATGAATGCCCAGAAGCTTTCTCTTGCTGTGTACACTATTTATTTTGAGAGCTAAAGAAACCTCTTTGTATAGAAGAATATATACCTAATCAATAGATAATCCGAAATCACCAAATATTCGAGTGTGTACAAAACACACAAATTGAAAGAATAATAAACTAGGTGAATTCTGTGCTAGAAAAGAAAACAATATGACTTGATAAAAGAAAAAAACACTGAAACGGGGTTGATCGTTTATAATTCTTCTCAGCACCGTGTACAGGTCTTGTCAGATGTGCTTATTTTCTAGAATGATACACTTTGAAAGCTGATTCAGGCGAAAGTTATGCAAGTTCACATGCACCCCAACTTTTAGTAAATAAACTGTTATGTATCAGTCTATTGTTTTTCGAGTTGTATTTGGATTCTGAATTACAGTTATCAATTCAGACCAAGTTTCCAAGTCCTTCAACAACAAGGGAAGTCTACAGAACAACATCTGTATTTAAATGTTACGTTTTTATTGTTGGCAAAAGCACATAAAGCATATTGTGCTTCGTTACTTCATCCTAGCCTAGAGTAAGCTTTCTCTACTTTCTTGTCATATAATTCTAATTTAAATTATTAATCAATTTTTTTTCTAAACTAATTGGCAGGGAATTTTGTGGCTTCTACTTATTGAGGGACAGCTCTTTATATATACTAGTATTTCAGCAAAGGCGTTGTGAAGAACAATACATAGTGTATGTGTATGAAAAAGTACTTAAATTCAAAACAGTTTAATGACAACTACTGTGTATTATAGTTGGATTTGTATATTGATTATATTCATCTGCTGAAGGAATACATAGATGACTAGATGTGAAGCAGTGGGAAACTACCATTGGAATCAAAAGATACCAAATAGTTAGTCCACACAAATACAAAGATGTCAACAAAGATGTGAATCAATTTACTGATCATATGTTTAACGTAGGAAATAAAATCCCTGCAGTCCTAAAATATGTTATAACCAATGCTATGATATATGTAGTGATCAAACTGCTAAAAATAATATAGTAAATTGCTAGAGTAGCAGTTCATATATTAAGAATGGTTCCTACCAGATCATAACCCTATATGAGAGAGAGAGAGAGAGAGAGAGAGAGAGGAGGGAAGGGGGAGAGATAGAATGGGTTAATTTTTTGTACAATTCAACTACCTGAATGCCTTGCTTGGCTTTAGATTCCAGTAAGAAATCAAGCCGGGAAGACGCATGAAAATTGAATGGACGCCGTAGGTATAGTTCTGGGCACAGCCACCACCCACATATGAATATCTGCATCAAACATCAAGCACCAAACATAAAACATTATCAAGTAATGGTAATAACATCGACAAAACGGATTAAGGGTAGCAGACCTCTGATTTTGCTTCCTCAATGGCCACAGCAATAGCTTCAAACGCGGAGCGACCATCTACAAACCACTGAGCTTGACTACCGTCCTCAATCAGACCCCGAGGGGGTGCAAAAGAGCCAAATCGATGTGGATGACACCAACCTTCAGGTGGTCGAAGACCAGCATCATTGATTGCGGCTACCCAATCTTTTACTTTTGCATTGCTTTTGGTTCTAAGTTTTATGCTTCTAGTTCCACATGTCACCTATCATTGAATTCATAAGCTTCTAAAGAACAAGATCTTCAAGTAACATAGCAAACTATGATAAATTTAGTTACGCATAAGAAAGGATTTGAGGGTTAAAAACTCAGATAAAAGTCCCAATGAAGTAAAAGCTCAGGATCTTATAGTGAATGCCTGAGAAACTAATGCTTCAGAAGACCCAAACTCTTGGTTAGAAGAAAGACCAAATTGGAATCAAATAAAGGAGTAGCAAGCTGATCCACAATAGCTAGCTGTATAGTTAGCAATGTTTCATTTGTTGAATTGAAAAATTCATCTGGCTACCTCCACAAACATCTAGAAGCAAAAAATTATCATTCGCTAACAAATTACATTGCAGTTTTAAAATCATTAAATAATAATGTTCAGCATCCCAAACAGTATTAATTTCATGACGAGCCTCAGTTGAATTCCTGTGGCAAATATAGATTCCAAAGACGAAACGATACATTATCACCTGCACTGACTGTTAAGGAGGCGGAGATCTCTAAACAGAAATGCTAAAAAATTTGGATCAGAAGCCATGGCTTACCCTGAAATAATGACGCAATGGATTGTGATCGCTAACTTCTTTTGCCAAAGATACACGGCCTTCTCCATTTCCATCTGAGGCTGGTAGAACATCAAAAACGATGATGTCTAAAGGCTTGGGTTCAAAAGGGTCCTTAAGAAAGGCCAAGAATCCAGGTTTTAGGACAGCCCAGACCTGAAGAATTTTCAAATATATATAGATAGCCATTGCCATCCTTTCGGAAATTAGTATGCCGTGGAGTAGATGGCTATAAAGTTAATGAACATGCAAGTGAAGCCGGACAAATTCTAGCATTAGTCAGCTTCTTGTAATCCAATTCAGATGTAGGGGACATATACGACTGGTCATGGAAAGGTGAAAACCTTCCTAGATTGGAACTTCAGTGTCAGATGCTTTACTTTGAGAGGCATGGGATACTGCCTAAAAGGAATAAGCTATGGAAACATGACAAACTAAATATGCAGAAAAAACTGGTAAATGAATTAACAACTTTAAGAAGAACCTGTCCGTAAAAAATTTCAACATATGAGTAAAAAGAGAAAAAAAAATAAAATAAAAATCAATGTTGAGGGGCAGATTCAATCAACTTCACTCAGTATATAAAAAGGAGCACCTAGAAGGATGTCGAGCATTCCGATTGAAGATAGATACATATACTCGCTAAAAATTCACAACATATTTTCATGTTAGCTCATGTGGTGATCACCAAGGAACGAACAAACCTTTTGCCAATTATCTCTGCAACAGCATAACCATTGACATGAACAGCACTTCCTGTTATCGGCACTATCCAAAATCTTTGGTAAATGCTTCACCAAAATGTAGTCTTCCTTAAGCTTAGGGCCATACTCTGGAGAGAAAGATAACTTGGAAACTTCCAAAAACTTGCACACCTACAACGTACATAAATTTGCAAGTGAGCAAGCGAAGTGTTTCCAGCCCTACAAGATAAGAACAGGCCTTTTTACCTAGGAAAAAATCATTGACACATTTGTGCTGTCACTGATGAGTTTAGATAAACTTGCTTATAATTATATGTTTAAGAACACATCGATCACATCACATGACAGTGAAGGCCAATGAAACAGTACATAAATAAAGATAGTGCTTCATATATTAGTTTTGCACAATATTGGGGATCACAGCCTCTCTATCAGCTTCCAGTTAATAGCCCTACAATCTCTGAATATCGAGCTCTCCCGACCACAAGAAAACAAAATCAAAATATAAAATCATAAACACAATCGCAAATTAGAATCATTGCCCCTCATTCCAAAGACAAAATTTCCTGGCTCTTATGGTTACAGAGGAAATCCCATGAAAGAACACGTTCGGATGTCATTCACAGTTCTACATAAGACGAGAACAGATACCACCAAAGCTTATGGAAAATAATATGGCACACACCTCTTGGGAATTCACAATATCTATGTTGCTCAGAAAATGATTTAAGTATTCCTGCATCGCTCCTTTTGCTCGATCAGACATAGAATGCTGCCTTCCAAGTGCCGGCCGAATAACTGGGAGAGCGGCACTAGACGGAACATCTCTGAACAAAAAACCACCTGTAAGATATATAAGTATTACAATAGCAATCAAAGTATGCCACTCTTTTCTGAAGAACTAGAAGAGTCATGCTTGTCTAATAAGCACCTCTTTCTAACCATATCGTCGTTTCGTAAAGGAACCGTCTCATCATCAGGCTCTTCATCATCCTGCATAACTGGTGCATGGTCTCCTAATCCTAAATTTTGAAGCCAGTCTTTGACCTTTGAAACGTTGAAACCAGAGTGAATTAAATTTGTCAATACTTGAAATATGAAACAAGAAAAAGTTAATGGTAATCGTAACAATGCTTCTAAACTGAAGCAAATAAACATCAAGCTAACTGATTGTCTGGGCATTTGATAAAATGTTGCTGATTATATGGAGATATACCTGCTCTTGCTTCTCATGCATCTCCTCAATAAATTTTCGCTTCTTCAGAGCAAAGTGCAAATAGAAAACTTGAGAAGCTTTCTTCACTAACTGCCACTTAAACTAGAGAAAATTGAACTGACAATTAGCAATATAACCAATAACATCCTACTCCTCAATACATAGAAGCTAAAGAAAACAGCTCTAGATGGATTGTTAAATTAATAAGTGGAGAAATTTCATCCCAAAGTAAATTAAGAAATAAAAAAAAAAGGAAGTCTTCAAAATGTTATAATTACGAGACAAAGGGACTGTATTAACATCGTCTTGTTCACTAACATAATACTCTATGCTATTAATGCCATAAAATCTACCAGGAATTCATACGCAATCTATCCACGGAAAACCACATCGGCTTGCAGAAATCAAATTATGCAACTTATACCACCCGAGACTTCCTAAAAGACTAGATAAACACCACCAGCCAAAACAACTAAATGGTCATTGATCACATGAGAGAAATTCGTATACCAGAAAGAACCAACAATATCAAACCTCTTTGTATTGAAATTCGATCGTGTAAGTCAGTTGTACGGGGCTAATATCTCCGGCGTCCGGCCGCGAAACTTGAATAATCGAAGCTCGGGGCAACTCGTCGAAAATCCGATTCGAGTCGTCGTGCGGATTGTTCGGCTGATCAAACGAGAGGAACGTCGAAATCATCGGCGTCAACTCCGACGGCGGCGATGACGACTCCGCCTGCATTTGCACGTACTTCGGCCCTCCGCCGCCCATCAATTGCTCCGTCGACGCCATACATCAATATAATTTAAATAAAAAATGATCGGAACAAGAGAAAGAGAAGTTCAAAAACTGTATTGTGTGTGTGCTGAGATCCAAATTCTAACAGAAAGTTTTGGAGAAATGGANTTTATATTATTATTATTTAAGTACTTTCGTCATTAATAATTGTTAATTAATTAACGTTAATAGTTTTTAATTAATTAATCATGCTTAAATGTGGAATTACGTAATTTATTTTTCCATATCTAAATACCATGTGCACATATATAAATATAAATAAAATATAATTAAATATATGTATGCACATAATATTAAAATTATAAAATATGTAATATTATTATATTTTATAATTTGAACATTAGTAAAAATAAACAATACAAAACTATTTAATTGAATTAATCACTATTTTCATTGGGAAAAAATCTATATATACATATATATAATTACAAGCACCATCATTAAATTTTATTCCACCAGCAATTAACAAAAATATAGTTCATTTAATAAAAATCTTTATGACTTTCTTAAAAAACCTGAAGTGAAATAGATTTCACTCGGGCTCCTTCGACTCGGTCGGCCTCCGTACCTGCAAGAACCCAACGCCGGGAGGGATCCGAGCGTCGGGCCTCCAACGCTCAAGTCAATATCACTCCAAAACTCCAAATCCCAAGTGTATAGTAATGAATGTAGAGAGAATGAGAGAATGAGATACCTTAGCCCCGTTTTATAGGGGGAGTATACCTTATGACCCAAATTGGACTTATCTCATAACATCATGCCATGTGTCCTAGCCATATGTAGGCATATTCTTCAATATATTCCCTTTTTATCTATTAAAACCGGTCTAGTATATAATATCTCATATCATCTAGTCTCACCCACTCAGGTCGAGTAAGCATGACTCAATCCAAGAGTGAAATGCCTTTTGGGCTGTTTTGTCAACCTGCCACTGAGGTTATAATTTGAATAAATCCTCGACCACCAAATAATCACCAAACCTTCAAATGAGCACCGGGACCCAAATAAACACCAAATGACAATTAAGGTAAAAAACCGAAAGACCTGCCTCTGAGTTCGAACACCTAAAGACCTGTCTCGGAGATCGAACATCGAATGACCTGCCTTTGAGGTCGAACTTTGAAAAGCGAATGACCACTGAGGTCAAAAATCGAATGACCCGCCACTCGGGTCGAACACCAAAAACCAAATGACCAATGAGATCGAAAAGGTCGAACACCAAAAACCAAATGACTAATGAGATCGAAAATCAAGTGACCCGCCACTGGGGTAGAACACCAAAAGCCGAACAACCACCAAGGTCGAAAACCGAGTGACCCGCTATAGGGGTCGAACACCAAAAGTCGAACGACCACTGAGGTCGAAAACCGAGTGACCCGCCACTGGGGTTGAACACCAAAAGTCGAACGACCACCGATGTCGAAAACCGAGTGACCCGCCACTGGGGTCGAACACTAAAAGCTGAACGACCACTGAGGTCGAAAACCGAGTGACCCGCCACTAGGGTCGAACACCAAAAGTCGAACGACCACCAAGGTCGAAAACCGAGTGACCTGCCACTGGGTCGAACCTTGATTCCTAGAGTAGATTCATTCTCTCTTCATTTTGTAATGTCGACCTTCCTTTGATCTCTCTCGACCTGCTTACTTGGACTTCCATTATACTTTGCTAGATTTTCTCGATCTCTTCCCGAAGCCTTGAATTTGAAAATTTGAACTCACGTCTATTGTTTCTTGACCACCATGTTCGAGCTATCTTCGCTCAGAGATAAAACTTTTCGACCACCAGGTCCTGTCGCCCCTCAGTTTAAAATTTAAAATTCAACTCTGCTGTTTATCCTCTTGAAAACCGAATGTCCTGACACCACCTTCATGTCGAAAAACCGATTTCGACAAACCAATCCAAATAAAAACATTGACCTGAATAACCTGACTTCATGAGCTGCTCCAAGTGAACTCCCTCGACCTACCACTGGGTCAAAAAATAAACTCAACAAAACCGAAGAAATTAATAAACCATTGACCTGCCACCGAGGTCCTCGAATAATCTTCAAGAATTGCACCAAATGAACTCCCTCAACATGTCTCGGAGGTCGAAAAATAAACTCAACAAACCCACAATCAAGTAAAAATCATCGACCTGCCACCGAGGTCCTCGAATAATTTCCACGAATTGCACCAAATGAACTCCCTCGACCTGCTCGGGATATCCGTCCTCCATGTCTTCAACGACCAAACATTAGGATCGACCACCCAGCCCAAAGGTTTTAGTCATGATGGATTTTTGTCGGCGAACACATGCCCACCCTCGAAGGAGTGGTCGATACATGTGACCACCCAGCCTCACGGCCTTAGTCATGGTGGATTTTTTGTCTTCGTACACATGCCCACCCTCGAAGGAGTGGTTGATACATATGACCACCCAGCCTCACGGCCTTAATCTTGGTGGATTTTTGTCTTCGAACACATGCCTACCCTCGAAGGAGTGGTTGATACATATGACCACCCAGCCTCACGGCCTTAATCATGGTGGATTTTTGTCTTCGAACACATGTCCATCCTCAAAGGAGTGGGCGATACATGCGACCACCCAGCCTCACGACCTTAGTCATGGTGGATTTTACTCCCTTGAACACATGTCCACATTCGAAGAAGTGGTCGATACATGCGACCACCCAGCCCAGAGGCCTTAGTCCTGGTGGATTTTTTCTTCAACCACTTTCCCACCCCGAAATGGATGTTCAAAACAAGCGACCACCCAGTCCGGAAGCCTTAGTCATGGTAAATGTTTTCTTCGACCACTTGCCCACCCCAAAAGGGATGTTCAAAACAAACGACCACCCAGCCCGGAGGCCTAGTCATGGTAGATTTTTGTCTTCGAACATATGCCCACCCTCGAAGGAGTGGTCGATACATACGACCACCCAGCCTCACGACCTTAGTCATGGTGGATTTTTTCTTCGACCACTTGCCCACCCCGAAAGGGATGTTCAAAACAAGCGACCACCTAGCTCGGAGGCTTAGTCATGGTGGATTTTTTTCTTTCAAACTACTCAAACACTTCGACCTGCCACTGAGGTCGACAAGAAAACACGCCAAACACCACGAGACAGAATAGTAATTGATCATTTTCATTAGTCCCATTAAATGCATAGTTATATCGAACAAGATAAATAAAATCAAGCATATTTTTCGACCTCCCTTTCCTATCTGTACGCGACGACTTGAGTTGTTTGTTTGCTCCATGCTTTCCACTCCTCACTATAACCAATATCCAATACACCTGTTCATGTATTTTCCTCATCAAGAATTCAACAAATCCCATTAGCCGTATTTTATCCGCATTATCCAATTTGCAATCCCGATAGCAATAATAACAAGAGATTAATAGATCAAAGCAATCGAATTGGTCCACATGCTTTTATACCACACTTCAATCTACAGGCAAGTCTCTTTACCACGATATGAAATCACATAAACGCCCATTCAAAGTCATAGTTGACCAGAATTTCCCAAAACCATGAATTATTCAACAAACAATTACGCTAAATCATACTCTACAGCTATAAATGACCATTAAACGAATGCACCAAATGAAAATTCGGATGAATTACTACCAATACCGAGCTCCTCAGTCATGAAGACTCGAAACTGCCCAGCCCGAAGGCCTTAGTCATGCCAGGTTTTGTTCGAGGCTCCACGTACACCCCATTTTCTGCATTTTGCTAGTCACTTAAATGATAATTCCAAACATATCCATATACACCACAATCTCAGCAACATTTCGCCCAAAATATTCAAACAATCAACATTCCTCCAAAAAATAATGCTAAAAGACTCAATGTGTCACCAAATTGTGTCAGTCGAACTTGACCACAGACAAGAGTTGGGATTAATGTCATACCTGAAGGTCCAGAATACCCCTCCCTCTTATCCTACCTCTTCAAAAGAGAATGATTTCTGCCTTTGCAACTGCCACCGGTGATCGACATCATCCGGACTCGTCCTTCATTATCACCCTGCTTTGATGGATTCATGCTCGTTCATTTTGTCCTCGGAACCCAACAATTCCGCCATAGCTTATCAAGAATCAGGTTATTTCGTTGTTTCCTCGACAAGAATTCAAAGAGATCATTATCCACATTATAATCACATCATCCATTTTGCAATTCTCCACGAACAAATCAAATATCTCCACGAATAAATCAAATAATATCTCCATGAATAAATCATATATCTCCACGAACAAATCAAATATCTTCACGAACAAATCAAACAGTCCCACGAATAAATCAAATAATTCCTCGAACGAATCAAATAATTCTCCTCGAACAAATCAAATATCTCCACGAATAAATCAAATAATTTCCCTAGAACAAATCAAGTAATCCCACGAATAAATCAAATAATTCCTCGAACGAATCAAATAATTCCCCTCGAACAAATCAAACAAATACAAATCACACGATCTCTCCTCGAATAAATCAAATAATATCTCCACGAATAAACCAAATAATATTTTCTCGAACAAATAAATATCTCAATGCATAAATCACGTAACCTCCCCGAATATATCAAATATTATCTCCACGCATAAACTAAATAATTTCTCCAATTTCGCCAATTTAAAAATCCCTTGAGCTCATGATTTAAATTAACCGCATACCTTTATCACGAGAATTATCTCAAATTTACCTTCTCGTCCACCTCGAATCATCTCGTTATAGCCTCGGGCACCAAATAGGGCTGTTAGACTAAGCTGGGCCGATTCGGATCGCTTCTGGACCCTCTTAACCGGTCTGGGCTCGACCTGGAGGAGTTAAACCGCGTAATGGGCCCATCCTATGATGTTGGGCCGCGGATAAACTACGTCAGGCCGGGCTAAGGGGCAGCAGCGTGTGTGGGCCACGCGCGGGCCAGACTCGGGCCACGCGGGCTAGTATTGTGAGGATAGCGGGCCGCTGGACGCGGCCCGCGCTGGTGTGGATGAGAATTGGGCCGCGGGGGTTCCTACTGGGCCGCAGACACCTGGGCCTCTCCCTCGGGCTGGACGCGAGTTGGTGGGCTACCATGACCCGCTCGAGCTTTCTCTTTCTTCCTGCTC